ATGAGAAGATTAGATTTGGTTCCCTGGTTAGGCATCTGCTTGGTCTCCAGACTTTCCTCTACTCCTGTATGACCAGAGCGGGGAGGAACTCTCTGGAGAAAGGGATGCCATGGGGACCACAGGCAGGAAGACAGAAGATCAAGGTCACCACCTCTGATCAGCAATCTCTAAGAGGGTAGAAAGTGAATCCCACCTGGCTGTAGTTGGTGGCTTGGCAGTGCTGGCCAGGAAAGAATCAACTGCAATCAGGGTGTGAGGAAAACCTGTCCTCTTCTCTCTCCTCCTGCATCTACTCCAGAGAAAGAGTGCCAGGATGGGGAGACGAGGGGGTAGTAAGAGCAAACCATGCCCCTGCCCCTCACCCCAATCTACCTGCCAGACTCCAACCCAAACCATTCGTGCTCCGAATCTCACCTGCTCTGAGGAAAAAGAGGAGAAAAGCTTTAAATAGATGTGAGGTCAATATTTAAAAATGATCAGGGCTGAATTCTTCAAAATTGCAAGTGACTAGACTTTCTGGAAGTAGGCTGTACCATTATTAGGGCAGCTGCCACCCAGACATAAGAACATAACAGTTGTTATAACAACAATCAGGGCATAACAACAGTCAGGGCAGTTGTGGGGAATGGGGCAGGCGACAGAACAACTCATTTCATGCTCATATCCTAATAAATTGCATCTGCTTAATAAACCACTTATGCTAACACCAACTTGTTGGCTCAGAAGTTTTCTAAAACCTGGAGGCAGGAAGGTGAGGCTCATGCTCAGGGACCCCAGATGTGACCAGAGATGAGGCTGCAGAGCAGAGCAGGGAGAGGTCCTGCTGCTAAGGCCAGCTGGGGTCACATTGGGAGAGTGACAGGAATTCCAGGTGGAGGGCCTAGATTTGAGTCCAGGCTATGGACAGGGAGGGAGAGGAACTGGGTGCCTACAGATTGAAGGGGCATTCTCACTGTGGAAGTTCATTCCCAAGGGTTGCTTGACCACCTGCATGTGCCCCAGGGATTGGGCCCCACTATGTAGGATTCAGGCAGAAAGATCTGGAGACAGTGGGCCATCCATACATCATAATACCTTTGGTGCAGCCACCAGCCCGTGGCCTGTGCCCTCATCTGAGTTCACACAATCCCAGAGTTTCTGTCTTCCCACAGTGGGCATCACACTCTATGGTGCTTGCTATTATACTTATGAGACATCTCTCATCCCAAACTGTGAAAGTCTTAATGGCAAGGAGGGTTCTTATCATTTTTCTCTCCTAGCACCAGCAAGAACTCTGATCACAGTAGCTGTTCAGTGAATGTTTCTTGAATGAATGGCTGGATAGGTAATAGAATAACTGAACAAACAGATGAATGAATGAATGAATGAATGAGTGGATGGATGAATTAACCCTTTAGAATATAAACATGATTTTTCTCTGTCATATTCCTACCATACAAATGTGTCCAGGTTCTCAACTGAGGCCTCAGAGAATAGGAGACATCTTTGTATGAAATATCTGTGATCTTTAGTATATAACTGAGCTGATGATAGGCCTGACTCAAGTAAACTGTGCCCTCCAGAATATCACAAAATCAAAGCTTCAAGTGTCTACCCTCTAGTGTCCAATTGTTAGACTGCACCACTGCTTTTTAACTTTTATAATCACAGCTGTTTTCCAAAAAGATGACGCAGGGCTTTCTGAATTAGGGACACAAGGGATTTGCTTGAGTTCATTCCACTTTTCTGTCCCTGGAGGAAAAGACATTGATTTGCACATCCTATGTCCCCAGCAAGGGGCTTGTGTGGCATCCCAGCTATCTTCAGGGTGACTCTTCTACCAAGGCATACACATCTGCAAAGTAGACCCTCATGATTATTTTCTAAAACTTGATAGAGAAAAGTTGACTGGCCTCAAAATTCATTTACAGTATCCAAAGAAGTGTCAACATTGCAAGTGCCAAAGAAAGAAAAGAAAGGGCCATCTGATTCCGTAAGCATAATTTCAAATGATGAACATTGTTCTTAATTTTTTATCATTTACTGGGGTGGGAAAATTTTTAGTCAGTATGTATTGAATTTAAAAATCATAATCAGGAATTGCATAGAGCCATTTCAGGTATAAAATCTGATTTTTAAAAAAAAAGGTAGATGCAAACTCAAATTTCTCATGAAGAAATTTGGTAATTTTTATTTATGTTTCACATAAATTTAATATTTAGTATTTTTCCTGATATTTTCTATTATTTCACTCGTCTTAATTATATATTATAGAGAAAATATAATGAATTTATTCACCTAGCCCCTTAAATGTTCCAAAATTCCCTCCAGTTTACCTTTATGTGCAAGGCAAATGTTTTCTGTGTGTACCATGATAGGAAAGAATGTTGGAAAGCACTTGGATAGAGGTTGCCTATTTTAACTCAGAACTGCCAAAATTCTTTAAAATCCTTGTTAAAAGTATAAAATTCTGGCATAGGCTTAGATTTTAATAACTCAAAACTGATTTAACTGGAAAAAATAAGAGGTCAGGCTCTTTGGAAGCTATAAAATTTGGCAGCCATGATTAATGTATGGCAGATCATGTTTTCCAAGGACGACTGCAACAACATCTCCCCTCCCACATGATCTTCTTACTCTGTGATTTTGGCATCCCTCTCATAATAAAGTGGGGTCTGTGTTTTCTTTCTCTTAAATCTGGATTTGTGACAAAAATGGAAGATGTGCTGTTTGACTTCCAAAGCTAAGTGATAGAAAGTAATGCATATTCTTGCTGGTACTCCTGGTACACTGGTTTTGTGGAACTCAGCCACTATGCTGTGAGGAAGCCCAAGCAGCTCCATGAGGAAGTCATGTTAAATGTTCCAGCCAACAGTCCCAGCTGAATTTCCAGCTGATGGCCAGCACCAACCTGTCAACCATGTGAATGAGACATCTTGAAAATTCATCCTTTAGTCCCAGGTTGAGCCACCACAGCTGACACTGCACAGAGTAGAGGCAGGCTACTCCCAAGCCCTGCTGAAATTTCAGCTTTGTGAACAAAATAAATGAGTATTGGCATTTAAACCACTAAATTTTACAATAGTTACACAGAAATAGATAGCAAGAACAATGAAGAAACAAAACTCAGCTAAAATAGGTCAGAGAAGGATAAATTAGCAATACCTACGAAAAGCTCTCAAAAATATACACACCGCCCTTATACCCAACTATTCCACTATTGGGAATTTAATCCTAAAGAATAAATTAAAGATGTGCATCTAAGATTTCACTACAAAAGTATTCTTCAAAACAGCAAAAAGCTGAAAACAACCTAAATGTCAATAGAGAACTGAGTAATTCAATTATGGTACACGTAATTCTGTCGGTCTAAAATCTGACCATCAGAATCACTTTAGGATCTTTCTAAAGAAAAGGAAAATGAATAGTCCCTCCTTGAGTTACCTTATTGAGGAATATCAAGGCTGTTTCCAGTCTGGGGCTATTACAGTCTTGTAATGCATTATACCTCTATTCTTAAGTACTGCTGCTATTACAGTCTTGTAATGCATTATACCTCTATTCTTAAGTACTGCTGCTATTACAGTCTTGTAATGCATTATACCTCTATTCTTAAGTACTGCTGCTTTTAGTCCCATTCCTAGAAGCGGGCCAGCTTCATCAAAGGGAGGCACAACTTCAATTGCAATAATTTTCCACTAAATCTATGGCAACTTATATTCAGTTCATATGACTTCCCATTTCTCCACAGCCTCACCAGTCCTGGGTGTGACTGACTTCTTAGATTTTATCAATGAGATATACCAACAATGGCTTTGTTTTAATCTGCATTTCCCTGATTGCTGGTAGAGTTGAGCAGAAGTTTACTTTTCACTTACATGTCCTCTTCTAGGAATTGCCTCTTTCTGTCCTTTATCCATTTTTTTTCTTTTTTCCTTCTGGTCTGTTTGTCTTTTTCTTGTCAATTTGGAGGAGTTTGATCATTAGGGATACTGCCCTTTGTCAGTCATATGGGTTTTAGGTATTTCCTCTCAGGCCTGTGCTGGCCAGTATGGCAGCCACCAACCACTTGTGGCTACACACATCTAAACTAACTTAAATTAAATAAAATCTAAAATTCTTTTCCTCAGTCACACTAGCTTCACTGCAAGTATCCAGTAGCTACATATGGCTAATGGCTACTATATTGGACAATGCAGAACAGGAAAGTTATACTCCAGCTACCATTCATCTTTCTTTTGTGTTTATGTTATCTTTGGCCATACCTAATTTGAAATGTTTATATAATTAAATCTGACTATCTTTTCTGTATGGCTGCTAGGTATGTCTTTCTGCATTAAGAAGGCCACCCCTCTCTGGGTACAGAGACTTACACCTGTAATCACAACATTTTGGGAAGATGAAATAGGAGGATTGCTTGAGTCCAGGAGTTTGAAATCAACCTGGGTAACGCAGGGAGACCCCTATCTCTACAAAAAAAAAAAAAAAAAAAAAAAAAATTTAATTAGCTGAATGTAGTGGCACACACCTGTAATCCCAGCTACTCTGAAGGCTGAGGCTGAGGCAGGCAAATCAGTTGAGCCCAGGAATTTGAGGCTGCCGGGAGCTATGATCGCACCACTGAACCCCAGCCTGGGCAAAAGAGCGAGACTCTATTTCTGGAAAAAAATAAAATAAAATAAAAATTAAAAAGCCAACCTATCCCAAGATTATTTCTTAAGGCTTCTAGTTTTTACTTCTAATATTTTTACATTACTTTTTTATTTAGATCTTTAATCCAGAAAGAATTAATATTTGCATATGGTAAGGCTGTACATCTAGCTTTATTTTCTTCCAAATGTATAGCATGTGTATTTGTTAAATAACTCATTCTCTTAGTTATGTAGTTTGTATTTAATGTTCAGATGGGTAATGTCTGTGTAATCAAACTGATTTTTTAAATGAATTATGCTTTACTCTTATGTTTAGACCGTTCTGCCCTACTGTTGGTCAGGTGAGTACTCAGTTGCATTTTCATCCAGGTACTGAGTGCCAATGTTCCTTCTGCAATTAAAGATGGGGAAACTGAAGCCAGAAGTTGAAGACCAGCCTGGGTAACATAGCAAGAGCTCGTCTCAAACAAAGACGGTGGGGAAACTGAGTCCTGGGAATGGTAAGACGACAAGAACAAAGGGACAAGGCTATGGTAATGAGATGCATTTTGAGGGCCGCCAACTTCCAGGCTGGAGGATCTCCCAGTATCCACAACACTATCTCCATTTCCTGTACATCTGCTGTTTAGCTCTTGTACCTGGCTCAGTACCTGGATCAGCTACAGAAACACACAGATGGTTTCGTCTTAGACTTGAAGCCCCAGTTTCCTCACCAGCATCCCTTCTCACAGGCTGCAAAGCCTCCACCCTGGCTAGTGCCCAGGCATTCTCCATGGCCATGCTCTGGGCTCAGCCTCTGCAAATACAGCCAGCCTGGATACAAAACAAACATGTGGTTAGCATAAGGAAACCACGGAGCTGATTCAGATGAAAGATCCAGTGAAGAGGCCTCCCTGAGAGGGAGGATAGACTATACAATTGGTGCGAAATGAAAACTGGGTCCTCTTGTTAAAAATTATTACAAGTTTCAAGATGGTAACAGCAGAGAGTTTAGCCAGGCCCAGGGCCTTTCTATGTATGAGGCCCTGAAGCCACCCCTGCTTCTGGAGGTACTAGACCCAGGGAACTGGGACCCCGCCAAAGCTCCTTCGGTATTCAAACTGAGGCACCTTCATCCTCCTGAAAAAAGAGCCTCAGAGCCCGGACTGCAGGATTAGGTAATGACCCAGCCTCCCACCACTCCCACCGTGCACCTGAATTAGGGCTGTGTCTTAACTCTCCTATTTCAGAAACTTCAGCTCCACGAAGACCTCAGGCCCCACCCCATCTTCACCCTAGCACATCTGAGCCCCAGCCAAGGGGTGTGATCTGGAGTGGTGGACACAGTCCCGCACCACTGCAAAACAAGCAAGAAGTATGCTCAAGGCCATAGGAAGCAAAGATTCTGTACTCTGGAATCATACAGACTTGGGTTTAAATTCCACTGTACTACTCACCACCTATGTGACTGTCACTTAGAGATGCCAATATGAGCCTCAGGGACCTCCATGAGGATTAAGTGAAGTAAGGCCCACTGTCTGGCATGGAACAGTCACTTTTAAGGAGAGCGGTGTAGCCAAGTGGTAACAGCATACAATTCCTGAAAAATCCCAGCTCTGCCACTTAGCAGTATTCAGCCTAAGTCATACTCCTGAATGTCTGCCTGCCTCAGTTTCCAAGGAAGTGACATGGGGATGATGCTAGTTGTACATTCTTCATTATCATTTTAAAGATTAGACAAGTTAAGGTTTGCAACTCAGTTTGGAACACTGTCTGGCACATAATGAGCTATATGAGTATGTGTTTTATTGATTAGGAATGCTTTATGAATGTTACGTGAGCATTTGAGATTTGGAATTAGAAGAGTTGAGTTTGAGGTTTTCCTCCACCTTGTGGACCTTGAAAAAGAGGCTTGAGCAAGCCCTGTAGCTTATGTGAACTTCAGTCTTCTGGTCCACTTAATGGAAATAAAAGTTGGCACCTTTGATTGTTGCAAAATATGCCCCTGGTGCCAAAGTGCTGATAAGCAAGATGCAAACGTTGGCTGCTGTTGTTGATTGTCATTGTGATTATCTGTCTGGTCATCAGAATTCCTGGTCTTGTGGGGCCATGGAAAGAGCACAGCATCCATTTATTTGTTCTGTGATATTTACTGTTAACCTGCTCTGGGCCCTAGATTGTGTTGAGAGCTAAGTCTATGAAGGTGAGTAAATTGGAGCCCCTGCCCTCCAGAAGCTCACATCCTCCTACTCATGGCAGACAAAGAAACGTGAATTCTACTACAAAGAAGTAAGTGTGGCAGCAGATGTACTATGCAGTGCAGAAGTGGCCATGGTTGCGGGAGCAAGGAGGGCTTCCTAGCATTGGCGTTATTTGACCAGAGGTCTGGGTGGTGCCTCTTGGAGCAGTGTGATCTAAGCCAGGGACAGATACCTCTGTGAGCCTTGGTTTCCTCATCTGTAAAGTGGTTAAAGATTGAATAAAGCAAAATATGTGCAAACAATCTGTGAATGGGGAAGTAACAGATGTTGCTTTCTATTATGTTCTCTCCTGGCCATGAATATCAATTATTACAGAAATGAAAAGGGATCCTGCACCCAAATTCAAATCAAGCAAGTTCACCCAGAGGTTGCCGTGGGGTGGAGGGCCCAGATCTGGGCTGTTTGGCTCTCTATGCAGGATGAAAGGGATTTCCTGGACCTGGCTTTGCTGTCCCTTGTTCCTTTTGTAAGCATCTGACTCTTCCTCTATCCATAAAGATGAAGACATTCTTTCTCAGGGATTTAATATTGGGGCTGCGTGCCTGGCCCCTGAGAAAGCCCAAGCTTCCTCCTCCTCTTGAATTGAACCCAGTGCAGCTTTATGCACTCCAGACGAGCCTGCATTCCCCTTAATGCCCCTGGAATTGCTTACTCACACCAAAATCCGCTGCCTCAGGCATTTCCAGCCAGAAGTAAGCCTTCTTTTCATGGGCAATCAGGCAGTAGCCTGGAGCACAGAGGGGAAGGGGGGCACCTGTATGCCCGGCTGGGTCTCTGTAGACAGTGGATCATGCGAGGCCTCCCCTCTCCCTGACCCTGTGTGATGAGCCCTGGAAGGAGGCACCCAGGCCAGGGGAGGAGCTGTGTAATGACAGAAAGGGCATCTACATCTCTACCATGTAAGTGGGGAAACTGAGGCTTAGCCTAGCACCAGATCAGTCATGTTGAAACCTAGGTTTGAACTGGGTCTCTGAATCCCCACCCAGAGCTCACTGCATTAAGGCTGAGGTGCCTGTGAGAGTCTGAGGACCTTTACTATGAGACAGTGTGTTATCGCTGACTTAGAGTCTGGATAAAGAAGATGAATGCATTCAGAGGAGTAGATTCTGGTGTCAGACATTTGCATAAAAGGCCAATTGTTCCTCTTGTTTGGAAGGTAATTCACAAGCTTGAATCTCTAAAAGGTTGCATCTAGTGGAGGGTGGGGCTATGTGTCTGTGCACATCTGGTCTTTGGAGTTCTTATTCAGCAAATACTGATTGCAAGCCCATCATGTGCCAGGCATCATGCCAGGGGCTTGGGATCCAGAGATGAAGAGAGAGTCAACCATGCCCATCAGGTTCTGCCAACCCCTGTAGTACGAGTGGTGGTTGGAGCATGTATTACACCCCCAAAAGGTGGGCTTGTCCCCCCTTCCACTTACCAGCCATGTGTCCTTCTGGATGGCAGTTTCCTCATCTGCAAAATGTGTGCAGCCCTAAGACCTGTCACCCAGGACCGTTTGCGAGATCAGCTGTTGTTTTGCAGGTGAAAAGATCCATCTGGTCTCTGGGCCTGGCACTCTACCTATAAAGTGAGACTCTACTCCAACATATACCCAAGGTGTGCTCTGGGTAGTAAAGTGTGGTGGTTTAGCACTTTGCCTTTGGGTCTGATGGTCCTAGATCCAAATCCAGACTCTGCCCTCTATTGTGTAACCTGGTGCATGTCACTTAACCTCTTTGGAACCCAGTATTCTCGACTATTAACTGAGGATGATAATCGTAGTAATCATAGTAGTACCTAGGTCAGACTGTTGGTGTAAAAATTAAATGAGCTAATTAAAATTAAAAAGTAAAGTGTTTTGAACAGAGACACTCCTAGTAAGCCCTGAAGAAATGAGAGCTATACTTTTGATTATTAATATTCTTATAATCCAAAGGATGATGCAGGATTTTTTAAATCTTTCCACATGTATGTTTTTGGACCAGTCCAAAAAAGAATTGGAAACACACTCATGCCGCATAAAGACAGAGTTATGAGGAACTATAAAACAAAATAAAACCTTTGGAGAATCAACTGCAAAGACCAGTACTCTGTTTTTGTTATAGTTCTGAGCCCAACAGTGTCTCACCAGGTGATCACCAGAGATATCCAACATCGTATGTCCACCAGAGGATGGGGAACACTCAATCCCTTTTTATCAACACTTTCACTGTCCAGCCAGCCCCTAACTGGCCTCTTTCTGTCTGAAGGAGGTGGCTGAGTCTCTGGGCCGGGACTCTCTGCTCCTCCCAGCCGCCTCTGTCTATCCATCCCACGGCCACCCGAGCCGCTCTCCACAGTCTTGAACCCAGAGCCAAGACACACAGGTGCTGAGTCTCATCCCTAACTGCAATCTTGTGAAAGCACTCTTGGGCCTCAGTCACCTTGGAGAGCAGGAAGGGCTCAGAGGGGACATTCATTCCACCCATTATCCCCAGGTTCCAGTTTGCTTTAAAGGAAACTGAGGTATAGTAAAGGTTAAAGACTTATGGAAGATCATACTAGAAGCTGAGATCCCAGCCAGGGCTATAATCCAAGTGCTGGGACTTTCACAGTTGTCAGGGGGCATCACAGTTGTACATTCAAAGTCTCAACTGTATCTTGCAATCACCTAGGCACAGCTACAGTGCCCAGGCCACACCCTTGACCAATTAAATCAGAATCTCTGGGGATGAGATCTGGGCATCAGTATCAGATAGCCAAGCTTGTATACTCCTGCATTAAAGTGAGAAGGCCCCCCTGTGAACACTAAATGCCTTCATTCACATTCTTTTTGCACCATTCTCAAACCTACTCTTTCCTAGCCACATCCTAAAGATTCTGATGTAATTTGCCATGCATCAGGATCATTCAAAACTCCCAGGTGACTCCAACAAGCAGCTAAGGCTGAGAACCACTGTGTTAATCTACCACCTTCGTTTAACTTAAAAACTGTATTTACTCTTTAAGTAAAATGATAATATTTAATTGTAGGAAAGAAAAACGTACCTGTTCAGCTGAGACGCAATCCATTTCATGTTAACTGTATTCACATTCCAGGAAATAGAAGAATTTGTAGTTACAGGAATTTTTATCTGTGGTTTTACATCTTTACGCACAGGTGTATAGACTTGCTTATGTGTCAGTCCATTACTGCAGTGTGCCAATTCAGAAATTTATTGAGTTTGACTTGGTATAAGCAATTATGAGTTATAAAGGATCATTCTGAATCAACAACGTAATAAATAACCATCTTTAATATAATAGAATATAAGTTTAGTTAGAGTCATGAAACCTTCTGTCTCAACACATGGTTCCTATAAACTGAAAAAGACAAAAGCATTTGGTGAGTATCTGTCATTAGCTGAAGAAAATGTCTGGAAAGGGACTTTCCCTCAAATCAGACGGCAATTCCTGCTCTCCCTTTTGTTTTTTTTGTTTTGTTTTGTTTTGTTTTTTTAAGCAAGAGTACCCAAAATTCCAAAAACTCCTATATGCCTTTATTTACCTTATAAAGAAGTCTGTGGAATAAGCCCTCTTCTTTCTCCAACCACTCAACCGCTTTTCTCAAGGGGAGACCCTAAACCCGGTCGCAGAGAGCACATTTTGAATACGCAAAGTGGAGATCTCACTGACAAAACATAAAGGCTACCCCAGCATCCTCAGGCAGGGGGCGCATACCTGGGCCCCCTATGCCCAAGGTCTCCTCCTGGAATCCCCTGCTGTCTTCCCGCACCCAGAGCGGGAGCGCCAGGTTTTCCCCATCATGCAGGTGCAGGCGGTGCGGGGGGTTCCGGAGGCTGTGAGTGTCAATCACCTACCCTTATCAGTTCTCCGTCCAACACTTACAGTCATAAAGCTGGGCTGGAAAAGTGATAAGGGGACGTGACTGACCGGCAAAGAAGTTTTGATGAAGCTTTGCAGGACAAGATGTAAACGGACGTTTGATTTCCTGGCGAGCCCTCCCCGCCCCCTCTCTGCAGCTCCACCCCTGCCTCAAATTCACAGCCCCTCTGTGCCCTTCTACCTTGCTCTGGCCTCTCGCCCCAGTCTCTCCCTCTGACACCTGGAAAGTCACTTATGTTTCTGCACACAGAAATTCAAACGTGCAGCTCTGGACAGCTATGGAAAGTAGTAGATTCTTTGCATTTAAAAAAATCAATGAAAAATAGAAATTAATTTAAATTTTAAAATTAATAAATAAGCCGAAGTTAGTGAAGTCTTTACCCAGTGGCTCTCGCAGGTCTGAGGCCCCGGCCCAGCAGGTCCTGCTCCTCCCTAGGGTTCTGTGCTAAGCCCACACCCACATGCCATTCATAAAGTCCCTACAGCAAGTCTCCTCCTCCAACCAGGATTGGTCCTCCAGAGAGGCTGGCCCCAGGCCAGGATCCATCAGCCACAAATCTGTGAGCTGGATGTGTCCACTGTGCGGCGTGGCCTTGATGGGATTAGGCCAGGGTGGAGTTTGGTTCCAAAGGCAAGCGCATTCTCATGTATCCAAGCTCACTGCCCCATCATGTCAGATTCTTCTGTCTTGACTGTTTGACCTTCCACACTGATTCATCCACAGAGTCTTTGAAAACCAAAAACTATTGACATGGCTTCAAGTATGGAGGTCTTAACGTGATTCTGTGTATCGGAATGAAACCAAAGAGAACCTGTCCAGGTTTCAGAAATGGATTTCTGTATAGTATGACATTGTGGGACGACCACCAACTTTGGATCCCGTCTGCTTGCCACTTCCTTGTTGTGTAACCCTGAGAAAATTACTGAGCCTTGATTTCCTGATACATTAAACAGAGATAGTACCTCCTTAACTCCCAGGATTGCTGCAGGAATTAAGTGAGAAAATGGATGGAAAGAGCTTATGCTCACGCCTAGGTTCAAATCCCAGGTCAGCCACCTCCTGGTTACATAACTTCAGCAGGTCTTTTAAACTCTCCAAATCTCAGTGACTTATTTGGTAAAATGTGGGTTATAAAAGCTACCTCAAAGGGTTGTTTTGAGGATTAAAATATACAGTATAAGGTTAAGAGCTTAGTCTTTATAGTAAAATTGGTCTGGATTTAAATCCTGACTTTGTCATTTGCTGGTTCATTGACAGAGAATCACTCAGCCTCTCAGATCACTTTCCAGATCAACACAATGGCTGTGATCACCCAAACTTACAGGGTTGTGGTAAAGGTTCAATTAGATGAGCTATAAAACGCCCTTAGCATGGAGAATTTAAAAGATGTGCAGCTGATATCATTAACAAGAAAATACCACCGTGGACAGTGACATTGACCCAGAAGATGCCACAGGATGGCAGTTATTTCAGCAAATATTCCAAAAGGTGCATTACTTGAGTGGGCCATGTGGATGGGTCCCTGAGGGTCAGGCCAATCAAGTCTTGTGAGTGAGCTCCAACTCCATCTGCATCCGGTACAGAAGGCACTGATTACTCACAGAGTAGGCACCAATTACTTTGGAAATCAGCTCCTCGATCAGGACCAAGAGCTTATGCAGCTCCTGCCCTCTGTTTCTTGAAAGTGAAGTGTCAAGGGACCAAGTGTCCAGGGCCCAGGGGGACAAAAGGAATCAGGAACTCTGGCTCATGGAGCAGTCAAGTCAATCGCAGATCATGAGGAAGTGAGTGCTTTGATGTTCAAGGAATCCAGCTGTGTGGGAGAAGGGACGACCCTGGTCTGTAGTCTGTGGTCTGAACTCCTCAGAGTCCTATGGCTGACCTCTTGGGGAAGCTGAAGCTGTACAGTGACCATACACTTAGCCCAGCCCCCTTGTTCTACTGACAGGAAACCAGAGCCCTGGTAGAAACTCAGCCAAGGTCCCAGGGTGGCAGCTCTCTGTCTCGGACCCTAGATCAGAGCAGGTTTATAATGCAGATCAAAAAGTCAGGTGTTTTCAGGAGGATGTGGGAGGCCTCTGAACAGTGGGACAAGGGGAAACTGATGCCTGGTTAACTGCTGGACTGCCAGGCCCAGTCAACCCCTCTCAAGGGCCCAAATTGTGCCAGAGAGAAAATGCAGTGGTTCATGTCTTTTTCCATGAAAGCAATTGTACTGTCCATCTCAGGGGTCCTATAGGCCTCATCTTTACAACATGGGCCTCACTCTCTGTAAATACATACAGGAGCTTGGAAGTGGGAAAGGTACTCTGGGATGTTCAAACCTACGGTGTCTCTCCTCCACATCCAATCTAAAAGCGAATGCTTTGGCAGGCAGAAGGAGTTCAATTTCAAAGGCTGCTTTCCTGTCATCTTGCTTCCCTAGCCCAGATGATGTTCATATTTAGGTTTTTAAATATGGTCAATTGCTTAATCTGTTTATTTCTTATAATGATTCCATTGAATTCATTTGCATGGGGCTTTTAAAAACTCAATTCAATTCAATCAACAGGCATTGAAGAGACCATTTGTTGTCAGGGACTGCTGTAGACATTGAGGGCAGAGGGCTGAATTCAGTCTCCACATTCAAGGAAATGAGCAGCTCCTGGCTGATGCTGACCCACATGCCCTGGAGTGGAGAGGAGGGAAGGAACCCTAAGGCAGGGGGAGGAGCTTATGGAAAGGTGTGGAGCTGGAAAAGAGGCCTGACCAGGGAGCAGCAAACAGCCCAGGGTGGGGTGATGCTATGAAATGAGGCTGGAAGCAGAAGGTCAGGGACCGTGGACATCAGGTTAATTTGGGTCTTACCTGGCAGGCAAGAGAAAGCGCTGGGGTTCTGAGGAAAATCACATCTATTTTGAGCTGCTAAGATAGGGGAAGGTTTGGAAAAAGATGGGCAGTGGAGGAACTGCTGCTCAAGGCAGGTGGGAGGTGGTGAGAGTTGGAATTGATGCTGTGGCAATGGGGACAGTGATCTTTAATTTAATTTTAAATTCAATATATTCTAGAAATAACAAAAGAATGCAAGTAATGATACTTCTATCTGAGTAGCATCTTCGCGCCCCATGCTGGGCTCAGCTCGTCCCTCTATAGTATTTCATTTAATCCCCTCAGGAACCCTGAGCAGTGTGTATTTGGGATGGTCTTGACCCTTCTTAGGAGCAGCAGGTGTCATA